GTTTCGATACCCAATTTGCTAGAGAAATGTGTATATTTTTCTCTTCAAAATTAATGGCGGTGATTCATTTAGGTCATTGGATCATCATCAAGCTGAGCTCGCAAGTTCTCCTGAAGCCTGGTCAAGAACTTGCCATACCTCCCATGTTCCCTGTTCATGGAGAACCTGGGCTACTCACTGGACCATGGCAGCCTCTCGCCAGGAGCCCAGTGGCAGAGCCAAGCTCAGTGGCTGCCCTTCCCTGGCAGTAAAGGAGGGGTGCGGAGGGCCCAGGCGTCCTCTCGCTGCCCTCACGTTACCCAGTGATGGATGGATGCACGTGCAGTCCAGACTGTGCTGAAGAGGACGGACAGGTACCCGGAAACTGTGAGAATGCAAAGAGAAGACAGAGCTTATCAGTTCAGAGCTGTGGTTCTCAAAGTATTGCCCAGGCGCCCCTGGGGATCCCCAAGACCTTTTCAGGGTTTCATGGGTTCCAAATGACTTCCTTAACAATACTAAAATGTTATCTGCCTTTCCACTCTCATTGTCTCCAAAGTGTACAGCGGTGTTTCCCAGAGGTTCCATGATTTGTGTTGCATCAGGTTCACTGCATAAGCAGGTACAAGTATCCAGATGTCCTCCATGAAGGCAAACAATAAAGTTTTGCAAAATGTAAAAGAATGCCACCTTTCACTTTTTTGTTTTGGGAAATATATTTAATTTTCATTTAACAAGTTACATGTGTTATGTAATAGGTTGATTATTGTTATTTTATGTGAAATAAATACTTGTGTTTTTTTCCAGTTTCATTTTCTAATATGATATATTGATAGATATAACCCAGATTAACAAAGGATTTTTGGAATCTTCAATAATTCCTAAGGAAGTAAAGGAGTCCTGAGACCAAAGAGCTTGAGAACTACTGATTTATAGCAAATGATTTAGAGTCTGGCAGACCTGGGATGAAAACCCAGTTCTGCCATTTGGACGAGTTATTTTTCCACCCATCCCCCCACTTCCCCACCCCACCCCAGCCCCAGAACCTTGGCTTATTATCTGTAAAATGCTGATAATAATGTTTACGTCATGGGATGGTTGCAAAGATTAATGACCTGACATATAAAAAATCACCTATGGTCCCTGGCATAGATGAGGCAGTCACACAGTACAGAGGAGAAGGAAAAAGAAAGTGTAAAACTGAGCTCCCATCCTCAAAGTGAATATCTAGTGGATTGTTCACATGTGGTCGGACATGAAACACCAGTAAATATCAAAGAGGAATATCTCCTGCTCTGTGTGCTACCAACGGTGGTAAGCTGAGGCTGATGGGCCTCGAAGGACAGAGGAATTTACACGAGCAGAAGGAAGGGCTTTTCTCCTCTGTTCTTACGGGAGAACAACATAAACAAGGGCTCAGAAGGAGCAGTGGGCAGAGCCTGTCTATGGGACAGTGAGCAGACTAGCCAGCCTGCACGTACACACACTCACACACGCCACACACACCCATGCACACGTGTCCACACAGAGTGCGTATATATCCATGGAAGTGATCACGTCCAAAATCAAGTTCCTTGTGCAATCGTAATGTAATTAACAGGACCTTAGGGTTCCCCGGTTACCAACCATCTCCTCTGTTGCTCTTCCACCCTTGTCTGCTCATCCTAATCCCAGGCCCCACCCAGAGGTCTGGATACAGTAGGTCTGGGCAGAACCCAAGCATCTGTATTTTTAGACAAGCTCCAGATGTGCAGCCAGAGGAGGGTTCCCCAGGACACTCTGGGCAGGCACCCAAGAAAGACCTGAGCGGTTCTGCCTTTAGAGAGCATGCCTGTAACAGAACTGGAAAGATAAGGCCTAGAGGAGGGGCCAAGTCACTCTGCTCTGAGTGGAGAAGGCCACGGCCCAGGGAAACAAGACCAGCAAGATAAATCACAGGAGGCGAGAGAGGGAAGGAGAGACCGCTGTGGACTAAGGCATCATCGGGACCTCGGCAGGAACCAGATGGCAGACTTAAGATAGGATCATTCTGGAAGGGTGTGGAAGGAACCCCAGGGGCAGTGCAGAAACATGGCCACAGCACACCCCTTACCACCTTCAGGCACAGTGACTGTACCCCAGGGGAGCCTCGAGTGGGGAGGCCACCTTGAAAGGAGCAGGGGCCTGGGGTCAAGTGGCAAGGCCAGCCTGAGGTGACCTCACAGGGAGGTAGCTGGGGATGGATATGGAAGAGATAAATATCCCAAACTCTCTCTTCTGTTCCTCTGGTCCCACACCCAATGGAGGCCAACAACTCACCTGTGTGTCCATAGGTGTCAGCATCTGGGACAGAGAGAGGTGGAGAGGGGGGAAAGTGGTCCCAGAGGGGCAAAGGGGAGATGTCAGCCCAGCTCAGATGGTCAGAGAAGGGTTCTGAGCAATTCTCAGACATGTGTCTCAGCAGCCCTGGAGGAGGTGATGTGCTGACCACACTAGAAGGTCAGTAACCCTGACCACAGCCCATGCGCGCTGAACTCGGGAGACTGGCCAGCCAGTGCCAGGTGCTCCTCCAGCACCTGGAGCCCCCACAACCCAGCCAAGCAGAACGTGTTATATGTGGGCACTCAGGCTCTGAGAAATTAAAAAACCTGCCTGAAAATGCAGAGCTAGACAGTGACCGGGAAGGACCCAAACCCAGGTCTACTGTACAAAAGCTTGAACTCTTGAGCTCTGACCAACTCTCATGCTGTCTTTTTCCCAAAAAGAAAGTGTGTGTAAGTCTCAAATAAAGAGAATCCTCCTCAGGAACCTGTGTCCTAAAACTGAATTAAGGAACTGTATTAGTCAGGAGAAGTTAGGCTATGAGGCAGTAACAAACATATCCCATAGTTTACAGGCTCAACCACCCAAAAGTTTATTTCTCACTCCTAGCATCATCTAGTGCAGGGAGGCAGGGCACTTTGCTCCTTGTAGTCACTGGGGGACCCAGGGATCCATCTCAACATATGTTTCCACAGTGGCTGTGGGAGGGGAAGGGAATACAGTCGAGTACAGAGTTCTCAGCTACTAAGTCCCACACATCACTTCTACACATAATTTATTGGCCAGAGCAAGCCCTCTGGCCCCACCAGAGTTAGAGAAGGGCCGTGCCCTGTCCCAACGACCTCCATGCTAACTTCCCTTGGATCCTTAACTATGTGCCAGGTGTGGTGCTAAGCAGTCTGTACATATCATCCTATTTGAACCCCACAACCACCTATGAGATAGAGTGTATTTATAGCCACACTTCACAAATGAGGGCAACAAGACAGAGGGGTTAATTTGCCAAGGTCACACAGGTAAAAGGAAATAGGGTCATGGTTGAATCCAAGCCATCTAGCACACTGAACCCCTAGACTCTGATCATTTGTTGATCATCCAACAAATAATTGTTTGTGCAGGGCCTAAATGGCAGGAATCGAGGACCTAGTAGTGATCCGGCGAGCCGAAGCCCCTGCACTGGTGGAGGTGCAGTGCGAAGGACCGTGCGCTCTGATGGACTTCATCTCTATAAGGTGCTTGTTAGGATTTTTAACCCCAAATCTCAAAGCTGGAAAAACACTGAAGAACCCAAGTCTAAATGACCCTCTACCTCATCTTCATCCCACTTGGTGGGGGAATTCTCTCTGCAGCACCCCCTCCTCTTCGTTGGGGCTCTACAGTGTCTGTGTGTCAACACTGCTTTCTGTGGAGACCGCTCGCTCAGCTTAGCACACGTTCATCACAGCGTTGAGCTCTCCCCATCCAGGGCCCCAGGGGGAACCCAGTGACCCTCTTCCTTGAGGTATTCCCCTTTTACACGTTGGAAAGTGTTACCACATTGTTCTCTGGATAAGAATCAGATAAGGGGGCCACATTATAAATGCCCCATCCTGCTCCTGGAACGAGTGAGTTTCTCTAAAGAAAAGCAAATTTCCCTGCATTTCCCACCCTGGCCTCCACGTGGCTACCTTTACAGATTCTGCCTCCACTGCTCCAGATGCCAGAATGTCCTCACTTCGCTCCTTTGTGCCTGGCACTCCCTGAAGATAACATCAGTCAGGCCACCCCCTCCGGGCCAGCTTTTTCTGTGGGTGGGGAATTCTCACTTCACAAAGTCAACACGTGTTTTGTTTGGGCCCTGTGATAATGTTTGCTCACCCTCCTGGAAAAGGATGGGGGGTCCCCCTCAGAGAATTATCTAATCAGCTCTAGTTTCCCAGGCCTTTCTTGTTGGATTTTAACTACATTTTTAAGAGAAACAGCCAAAGACCACAGGTTACTAAGTTTCTTTCTTCTCTTTTCCTTTTTATCATAAAGATTAGGTCCAGGCATTAAGACTTGAATTATTCTATCTTTTCTCAAATGGACCATATCACGTGGCCTAATACCTAGTATTTGCTCAGTACTTAGAGGTTTGTTTATTTTTATTTGTTTCTCACTTACTTCCGGTGAGACAGACATCAGAATTCTATCCATTTTACAGGTCAGTAAACTAAGGCTTAGTGAAGTTCAGCAGCTGGCCCAATGTCACACAGCCTTTAAGTGGGAGAGCTGGGGCTTGAACTTCAAGTTTAAACCAACCATGCTGCGACTTCCACTACGTGCTTGCCAAATTCTACTTCAGCGAAGCATAATTTCCACTTTTGATGATTTTGTGGCCACAGAATGGAACCAAGATGTTTATTCAGCAAGTGTATAGAGCATTTCTGGGCAGATGCCATTTGGGATCGCGCCTAGGAAGGGAAAGCGGGTGGGCAAACACCGGGGGTCCAATGGAGAGAGGGTCCAATTCATCAGTTCTCACTGCATGCGGGTGGCCCTACTGAAAAGCCAAAATATGAGGCAGGCCCTGGGCACTTCCCTCTGGATCTGCAGAGAGTGGGTTCCAGGGACAGGGTTGCTGAAGAGGCTTCTGAACGAGAAGGGTGGACAGGCCTTTGAGCTGGGACTCGGAGGACCAGGAGGAAGGTTTGAACAGGCGTAGAGGAAGGTCACTGGGCTTCTGGACAAGAGCAGCCGAGGCCCAGGTGGGAACGCCAGTTCCAGGGAATTTTTTCTTTTGGTCTTTTTTTAAAAATTGAAGTACAGTTGATTTACAATGTGTTAATTTATAGTGTACAGCATAGTTATTCATTTATATATACATATATATATTCCTTTTCATATTATTTTTCATTATAGGCCATTACAAGGTATGGAATATAGTTCCCTGGTTACACAATAGGACCTTGTTGTTTATCTGTTTTGTATACAGTAGGATCTACAAATCCCGCACTCCCGATTCATCCCTCCTCACTCCCTTCCCCTCCGGTAACCATAACTTTGTTTTCTATTTCTGTGAGTTTGTCTCTGTTTTGTAAATAAGTTTCTTTTTTTTTTTTTTGTTATTCTAAGTGATATCATCTTCATTTTCAAAAGCTTTGGCTAACCTAAGAACACGGGGCCACAGAAAACATCACAACCATCCATCTCCCCCCACGAAGCAGGCACCCCATGAATAACCCCAGCTCCCAGCAACACCTGACAGGGAGGCAGAGAAAGAAAGGACCCAGACTTCAGCCACACTGGCACGCATGCGCATGCACACACACACACACACACACACACACACACCCCAACTTCCCTCTGGCCTCTACTGCAGCTTCTGTCTCTCAAATATTCTAGCTCGACCATTTTTCTCAAGGCAAAAGCACAAGCCTTTGGGGCCATCGGAAGCCAGAGAGGCAGCCACCTGAGTCCCTGAGGCAAAACCCTCCACCTCCAGGTGTTTATTCTGGTTTTTTGTTTCCGTGTTTCCTCTTTATTGGCTATAAACTCCCTGAGGGTAGAGAGCAGGTTTATCAGCTCAGGGCACCCACAGAGCTGCGCACAGCAGGTGCTGAATCACTGGGTGATGGGGGGTGGCCCCAGCAGGGGCTGGGAGGACGCCCTGGGTCAGGCGATGGTACCACCGTGGGCGCTGCCTTCCCCTCACCAGCCTCAGTTTCCCTCTTAAAGTAAAAGATTTGGGTGGGTCATCTCGAAGACCTCTCGGGCTGTCTTCCTCCCTCTCCAGCCTGGGACCCTATCTTGGTGGCTGAGGGGAGGTGCAGTTTTGTTCAGACCCCACTCATGCTCTCCTGACCCTTTCTGTCCCAGAGCTTTAAAGTGTGGAGAATGGGCAGGGAGCCCTCATACTTGGTGTGCATGACATGCACCCCAACCCCTGCCGTGGGCCCCATGGCTGCAGCTTAGCCGGGTGGGGGGCCTGCTCTGGAGCAGGGGCCCCAGCTCCTTGAGGCTGTCATCTCTTAGCCCTATGACCACAACTGGCCTGTCTCTCAAAGCCACCTTTCAGAATCACCCATCAGCCTAGAATCAAGCAATGTCTTCATGTCTTCCTCACCGAAAAAGGTGCCCAGGCCTCAGGGATGTCCGTGAGAGGAGGAAAAAGACTCACCCCACAGCCAGAGGGTTGGAGGCTGTCTGGGCTTCTCACCAACTCCCAGTGTCATGTGCGTTTTCAGCTTTCTGGCACCCAATCCAACATCCACTCTCCCCGCTTCTCCCTCAGTAATGGTGTCCTGATTTCCAATTGGAATCGTGCAAGCAGTCTGCTGAGGCTGTCATTCAAGATGCCCTGCTCTCCCCAAGCCAAGAGATGGCACTTGAGCCCGGCAGAGCTCACACCCGCAGGTCTTCCTCGGACTTTGAATCGCGAGCAGAGAGAGAGACAAAAAGCAGGAAACCATCGGTGCCCTTGTTCCGGGGGCAGCACTGTGGAGACACCTTCCATCGGCTTCTGCCAAGACTCTCAGAGCAGCCCGCGTGCCGGTTCTTCTGCCCTGGCTGGTTGACTCCTCTCTGATTCTGTCCCATCACTTTCAATTTCCTTTTCTGTTGCCCACATCCCAGAAGCCCTCCCTATCTCATTCACCTTTCAGATCGTAGGGACAGAGACATACTGCTGGTTATCTCGGGGTGGCACAGCCGGACCCTGCCTCTTCCCAAGAAGCAGGACCACTAGCATGGCAGAAGCATGAGTGAGACCAGAGCTCCTGTCCTGATGCCACCTCTCAGCTGTGCGGCCTCAGGCTCCAGACTTGGCTTCTCTGAACCTCAGTTTTCTCATCTCTAGAATGGGAACGTTTGTCTACCTGGTAAGACTGGGGTGTGGGTAAATGAAATGCCTAGAGAGGCCCTAGCACAGGGCTGGAAACATGCAGGATACTCTGCGAGGGTAGATTAGATTCTGATTCTCTCTTTCTGATCAGAAAGTCTCATTGCTTCTCATCTATTAACCTCAGGATCTATTTGAGAAGCGCACTCAGCTTCTCTCTGATTCACGTGCACTGAAATCACCACCTTTTTCAGTTGCCCAAACCATTGGGTCACCAAGAAAAGCCTTTCCAAGCCCCTTTTGGAAAAGGACTTCTTTCTCTAACTTGAAACAAGGAGGAGTCATTTGCCAAACTGAAATAGCACGTAAACCTTAGAACCCACAGATTTGAGTGAATTCTAATCTTGGCCAAAACTGGCAGGAGTGAGAGGGTGGGGGGGAGGGGGAGGATGAGTCAGAGATTCCACCCTTCAGAGGGGGCAGCCTAATATGGCAGTGGGGAGCCACGAGAGACGACTTAGGTATGCCTGGACTTTCAGACTGGAGCCACGACTCTGGCCAGGAACCAGCTGTGCCCCCGCCCCCCCACCTACCCTCACGGACACATGGAGCAGAGCCTTGGGTGGCAAACCAACACAGGGAGCCCAGATCAAGTTGGAAGGAGCCAGCCAAGAGACCAGGACCTTGACCCCAGGAATGATGACACCTACCTTTCTCCCAGCATGCCCTGGGTCCTGGGCCAAAGATGGACCTGTCTCTTCAGGCAGGACGTGGTCCTCACCGACTCCAGGTGTCCTGAGTGCAGCCGATGTCAAGTCCGTGAGCGGGCACATAAACATGGCAACAACAGTGAGGCTTCCCTCCGCGTAACCTCAGAGCAGGTGAAATTGATTTTCATCCCTGGAGGAAGACAGGTAGGGGAGGAGCTTCAAAGGCGAGAAGAGATTTCTGTTGCGGATACTTTTACAGTTTAATGAAAACAGAGATGCCTCTTACATGGTGTGAGTGGGAAGCACAGCCTTGTTCTAGTCCTGGCTTGGATCCTCACTACCTGTGTGACTTTGGGCAAATCACCTTGCTTTTTTGTGCCTTTTTTTTTTAATCATCTGTAAAGTAAATGAAGAAGTGGTTTTCAAACTGGAGTGTTCATTAGAATTACCTGGAGGGCTTGTTTCCTGGGCTCTGGCCCAGAGATTCTGATTCAGTAGGTCTGGGGTAGGACCAAAGAATTTGCATTCCTAACAAGCCCCCAGGGTTACAGAATTGCTCAGGCATATTCAGAGGGAAAAGAAAGTCTCACTTTCCTGCATTCCCAGCATAAGTCCTCTGACTGGACTGGCTGAGGCCGCATGTCCTCTCCTGATCAGAATGTGCTGCCTGGCCTGGCCGACTCCCACCCCCATCCCTGGGGCCAGCAGGTGAATCCATTCCCCCAGGCCACCAGGTCGTCAAAACAGAGAGCGGGGATTACTGGGAAGGGTCAAAAGAGGGAATGATGCTGGAGAGACGAGCCACCACGCCCGCCTTGGTGTCAGAGCCGCCCGGGGGCCCCGGGGAGGCCCACTCCCCAGCCCCTCTTCTTCCCAGCACACCTGCCTAGAGAGTGGTCGAGGCCTGGGAGGAGTCCCAGCTCAGGTCCCCACCTCCAGGGAAGACTGTGCCTAAACGTTCCAGACAGATGAATGCCATCCACACCTTCCAGGAAGGCGGTAATTAGATCTCCTGCCCGGAGTTCCTGGGGAAACTTCAGCCACACGCTCGAGTCAGGCTGGGTCATTCGTGTATAAACCTGTGTCCTAGACAAACGTCCAGAAAACGGCCATTCGCACCTGGGCGTACAGGCTGGCACAGTGTCTATTTGCTGGCTTCGGTGAGAGTCCCAGGGGACGAGGGTGACAATGAAGGGGTCGGTGTGTCTCTGCCTGTGCCCATGACGTCCAGTACTCCCTGGGAGGTATTCGTTCAGATGAGGAGTTCCGGTTTTAGATGATTTGTTCCTGAAGGGGAGTCAGCCACTTACCAGCCTTCCTACCGAAGCTTCCCATGGCTCACCCAAGTTGAGGAGCTCAGGAAGTAAAGAGAACAGAGATGAAACTTCTGGTCTCCAGTCTGAGATGACAGTCTCAGGGCCAGGAATGGATCCCAGTTTGAGTCCCTACTATGACCTTCACCTCAAATCTATCCAGAGGTTGATCAAAGCACTTGACTTGGGACGCATTCACTGGAGAACAGAATGATGTCAGGATTCAGGCAGCAGACAGGCTGTGTGCTCAGGCAGACTGAATGCAATCCAGGCTGCGTGACCTGGGGTGACTTCGCGTGACCGCTCCGTGCCTCCGTCGAATGCAAATGGAATTCCAAGAGCGCTTATACCTCAAAGGTGGTTATGAAAATGAAAATGTACGGAGCACTTGAAATGGTGCCTGGGGCACGCTGAGCACTTTATAAATGTCAGCTATGACTATTCAATTCACAAGGCACTGATGAAGCCCCTCCTATGGGTCAGACACTGTATTAGGTGACAGAGACTCAGAGATCAGTTAACAACCTGGAATAGCGCCTTCAAAGTGTTCATGGTCAAAGGGAAGATAAGACCCAGAGAAAGAAAAACCACTACACACAATGACAAATACTGTTGCTCAGTTTTGAATAAAGTACTAACTCCACCTGCAGGAGACCAAGAAAGCTTTTCAAGGGCTGTGACGCCTGACCTGGGCCTTGAATGAGTTTGCCAAAGACAGGCGTCTGGGGAAGCCATTCTAGAGATAGAACAGAACGTTGATTTGGGGAGAGGGCCTGGCTGTCCATGGAATGATGGGTTCCGGGTGACAGGAGCATAAGGTCCCTCAGTGGGGAGTGGCGTGTGACAGGCCTAGTGAGTTGGTTAGTATGTCCTGTGGCAGATTTTGGACTTTCTCCTGAGACAGCAGGAGCCAACGAAGTTTTTAAGCAAGAGCATAGAATGGGATGGGATGTGACTTTGTTAGGACTAAAACTGGGAGGAAGGTGGAGGGTGGCCTGGCTGGGAGAGACGGAGACTGGCAGGCTAGTCAGGAGGTGAAGCCCCAGCAAGCAACGGGGAGGACAGGGGCAGGCCACGGCTGTGGGGATGGGAACAAAGGGGACAGAACCAGGGTATTTTCATCAGGACAACGTAAATTAACACACTTAGGAGACACCCGCTCTAGGAACTCTGCCAAGGCCTCCTGTCAGTGCAAACCCCAAATGGGGATGATGGACAAAGTCCTCTTTTATGTAGTCCTCTTCCAATAGAAAAAAAAAAAGACCCATTTTAACCATGGAAATAAATAGAGGAGATGATGGCTTTAAAATTAAAGGTTGGAAAAACGTCATGCTGCAAAATCCCAAACCCCAAATGTGGTCGAGGACGCCACAAACTTTCATATTTGCACTTCAAGAGTGAAAGATGTTTTGAAAGAGTCCTTGAAATAGAGATTCCCAGGTTCCCCTGGGGGAGGACCAATTTTGGTCCAAAACACATCTTTATGGCTGAGTTTTAAAGCCCAGGAAAGTGTTCCTAATGGAAATGCTGACCAGCCTGTCCACACACCACCCCAGCGAGATCGCGGCTCTTTAAGAAAAATGAGATTTTCCCTTGCAACTAGGTCAACTGGGAAAGAAAACAAGCGTTTCTTCTGGAAAGTTTGCAGTTTTCAAATGGGACGCTAAGAAAATAACTTCATTATGGAATGGGAGGCTTTATTGCTTTCACTTTTACCTGAAGCCAGGTTAACTGGTTTAGAGAGCCAAGAGGCTGAAAAACAGGCACCACCTGTTGTCCAGGCGTGTTGTCTGACGAGCTGGGGAGAATAAACCTTCCTGGATAAGCAAGTTCTACTCAAGAGCTCAGACATCCACTGAGGCCTGGCAGGTGCATCAAAAACTGAGGCCAGCCAGATGCGGGCTGACCAGGTGGACTCACGTGCCAGGCCTAAAGGGAACAGATGCTAATCTGCACTGGCGACGGTGGCCATGTGGCCAGTGCCACTAACATCTGAATTTCCAAGGGAAGCTTGAGATCTGTGTGTTAAAATTCAGAAATCTTGCAGGATCAAGGCAGAATTTCAACACTTCAAGAGATGGAGAGGGAAAGAGCGGACTTGTTTGTTACGCACTGTATTGGAAGCCAGGAGTCTTGGGTTCCTGTTCCAGCTCTTTGACCCATTTTTCTGTATGTCACTTGGCCAGCTGCCAGCTGCTAGCCCCCCTTTTCCAGGCCTGTGAAAAGAGGGGCTAGGATGAGGTGAATTCCAAGCACTCAGCCACCTACAGCATAGGACTCTACGCCCTCAGCTGATAGAAACCATTCAACGTGTAGGAGGTGATTTCTGGAAATCAGAGGCGACCTTAAGTTAATGGTGAGTTCAGGAATTCGGGTTGGTGCAGCCCACAGTTTTCTTTTCTCGGGTTTCAGGTGGTTTTTCAAGAGGAATCTCCCTAACCTCTGGGAGGAAAGAGAACTGATAAGCTGAAGTCACAGTGAGGGTCCAGCGATAAGATGGCCGGCACTCCCACCCCCGTGAGCCCCACAGCGGCTTGCATAGGCACCGAGACTCTTGGCAATATCACCACTCCTCAGCCTCACAACAAGCCTGGAAGCTGGGTACCCTTGTCCATTTCTTTGTCTGCATTTTGAAGATAAGGCAACGAAAGCTCAGAAGTGTTAAGCATCTTACCCAAGGTCACACAGCAAGTAGAAGGCTAAGAGAAAGCCACAGTAAACTGAGGTTGGTTTCTGTGAGGAAAAGCTGGGCCGCTCATT